CCTTTACAATCCAGATAATCCAGAACGCAAGATGAATTTTTAATGAGCCGAAAAGAATGCATGTCACACCTCTGTTTATCAATTTGCACTGGCTACCAATAGCTGCTCGCATAAAATTCAAGGCATTAATGTTTGCCTACAAAACCACCACTGGCTCTGCACCCCTCTACCTAAATTCATTACTTTAGACTTATGTACCCTCTACAAGCTTGTGTTCTGCATGTGAACCGCGCTTTATTGTGCCATCTCAAAGAGACACACAATCACTTTCACGGACTCTTAAATGAACTGTTCCCTCCTGGTGGAACCTGCCCAACTTGTGACGATGTCATCACAAAAATAAATAAATTAGCATCTATTCAATTCTTTTGAATCCATTACTCATTAAATATTAGAAATATCTTTCATCACTAGTAATATGTTAACAGTGAGTATTAATCATCATTCATTCTCATCATTCATGTCAACCCAATCAGAACACTAAATGCATGCAGCATTAGTAATATTTCTGTAGTTCCAGTCATCTGGGTGTTTACGGTACGAGTTCCGCCCTCGGATGTACCTTTATTGGTTGATGAGGTCCGTTTTGGTAAGATGGCGGTGGCCAAGCGGCAAGCAGTAGCTCGTGAAGCTCCCTCTAAAGATTCACGCGGCGTTTCTGTTGTTTTACCGCATTGAAAAGTTAAGTCCGTCGGACTTCACATTTGCTGGATTACTAATCACTTCATCACACTTTGCTGGATGCCAAGTAGGTTGTTGTTTAAACGCTGCAAGGATGCCGTTGAGCAAGTGTGTATTTTGACATGGACTGACGGATCGGGAGTCTGAAAACTATCAATCTCAACCTTAAGGAGTCACCGAGTCACGGAATTGAATCGGACTTCCTGGAAAACGAGGTTGTGAGTAAAATACAGCGGCTGTGGATACTGTCGACTGTTGACTGATAATATTAGTATTACTTTTTTGTGTGTGTGTGTGCCACTTTGACTATTGGGAGTTCATTTGTGCTGATGATTATATCAGAAACTGAACGGAATGTTTTGGGCTTGAACTGATCTATTTTCCTTGGCTGGACTACATTGCTTATGCAATGGACAATTTCTAATGAACTCCTTTTCTGTGCATTTATTATGTTTTGTCTGATTTGATGAACTTTTGAACCTTGAATATACTGATCTGAAAACTGCAAAAGGTGACTTATTGTGTTCAATGTTATTTTTTATGTTGAAGTTTTTTTTTTTCCATTTGTAGAATTTAAGGATTTCCTAACTCACCAATTTCAGGGAATGTGGCTATTTAGTTACACAGGCCTTTGTATGTTTCTTGACTTAGACTAACTTGACTAAGTTTGGTTTAATTAAACGACAGAAACTCTGTCTGGCACCCCAGCATTTAAAAAGAAAATAATTTTTTCAACCAAGAGCAGGAAACGTTACAAACTCAGTCCGAGCAGCTGAGTCCTTAGTCATCTTCAAGAATCGGCTAAAACACATTTCTTCCATCTTTATTTGACCCTCTAACTCTAGCACTCTCTATTCTAATTCTATTCTTTAAAAAAAAACTTGCCTCTTTTAGACTTGCACTCTATTCATTTACTAACTGCTTGTTTTCTTTAAAAAAAATTGACCCTCTAACTCTAGCACTCTATTCTAATTTTATTATTTTTAAAAACTTGCCCCTTTTAGACTTGCACTCTATTCATTTACTAACTGCTTGTTTTCTTTAAAAAAAAGTGACCCTCTAACTCTAGCACTCTGTAGCGAATCAGCTCATGGGGAAATATGAATAATTAACCATAACTAGTTATAATTAACTATTCATATATTAGATCCGCTGTAGATATTTAGCTGACCACTCAGGGTCAACTGTCTTGTCAATTCTAAGACGTTAATTTCCTGGTTAAGGGAAATAACTTTCTTACTGTACAATTCTATAAGCTTGTAACGTAAATCTGCATGATTATTGACTCCGGTTATGAGCAAACAATGAACACGTCAAGTGTGATACAAGTAAGGTTTTGATAATTTTTTTTCAAAAACTTGCTACGTGTACTGCGTTAAGCTAACTGAGACTTGTAGTGTGTTCACCCTGTTGGAGTATGGCAGTGTGAATTGGCTTTTAGGTGCTTTGGAAAACAAAACAAAAAAACTGAAAAAAAAATATATATTTTTTTTTTAATGTTTACGCAATTAACATTAAATTCTTAAATCTTAATTAATTCTTACTTTAACTATTCTTATAATATTCAAGTGTTCATGTCCCTGAGTAATATCTGCATGCACCCAAATCTGAAGAGAACACATAATATGCTAGTCATTCGAAATACTTCTGCTTAATGTTACACTGTCAGATATGCAAAATAAATCTATCGTATCTCTTGCTCTGGCTACTGTGTATAGACCATCAGGGCCGTATACAGATTTCCTAAAAGAATTTGCAGATTTCCTCTCAGACCTATTGGTTACTGTTGATAAAGCGCTAATTGTCATAGATTTTAACATTCACGTTGATAATACAAATGATGCATTAGGACTTGCGTTTACTGACCTAATAAACTCTTTTGGAGTCAAGTAAAACATCACCAGGCCCACTCATTGTTTTAATCATATGCTAGATTTAATTATATCACATGGAATTGATCTTACTGATATAGATATCGTACCTCAAAGCGATGATGTTACTGACCATTTCCTTGTATCGTGCATGCTGCGTATTACTAATATTAACTATATGGCTCCGCGTTATCGTCCGGGCAGAACTATTGTTCCAGCCACCAAAGACAGATTCACAAATAACCTGCCTGATTTATCTAAACTGCTCTGTGTACCAATAAGTACACATGAACTAGACGAAATAACTAGCAACATGGGCACTATCTTCTCTAATACATTAGAAGCTGTTGCCCCCATCAAATTGAAAAAGGTTAGAGAAAAACATACTGCGCCATGGTACAACAGTAATACCCACTCTCTCAAGAAAAAAACTCGTAGTCTTGAGCGCAAATGGAGAAAAACTAACTTGGAAGTTTTTAGAATTGCGTGGAAAAACAGTATGTCCAGCTATAGACAGGCTCTAAAAGCTGCCAGGGCCGAGCATATCCACAAACTCATAGAAAATAACCAAAACAATCCTAGGTTTTTATTTAGCACAGTGGCTAGATTAACAAATAACCAGACGCCACCCGATCTAAATATTCCCGCACAGTTTAATAGTAATGACTTTATGAATTTCTTCACTGATAAAATAGATAACATCAGAAATACAATAACAAATGTAGATTCTACAGCGTATAATACTTCAGCTTCATTCAACGCACCAAAAGATAAACTGCAGTGCTTTACAGCTATAGGACAGGAAGAGCTAAATAAACTTATAACTGCATCTAAACCAACA